TGTAGGTAAACCCGTGTCCTGATATTTATGATCCAAGAGCAGGCATTGTTTACATTTAAACAACTCATTTTTAGAAAAGAAGGTCACGCGTCTAAGAAAATATAATTATAATTGATAACGCGTTGGTGAAATCCTAATATATTTCGTCAAACTTTCTTCTATCCCCGCGGCAACGCGCGGGGGTCGGGTACGCTAGTATATATATATGAATAAAGCAATGTATGTTTGTTTGTCTTTTATGCATTACTACACCTTTCGTTTGATCGCCATGAAACTTTGGGAAGTTGTTGAGAATACTCATGTGGAGGTTTCTGCGGAAAAAAAATTTCAAATTCGGCGGGGTGGCGCCCCGGCAGGGAGCAATTTGTTTTTTTCTCTATATACGGTATATAAAAATAAAAGTCGATTTTGGTTTGACACCGTTCATCCGATAGCCATCAAACTTTGGTGAGTTCATCAGAACACTCTCTTGAACGGTTCAGCAAAAAAATCTTTTTTTAACTTCGTAAGGGCGGCGCCACGGAAGGGTGCGAATTTGGTCTATACACGGTATATAAAAATAATATAATTGAATTGCAGTGACACCGTTCACACAATTGCCAAGAAACTTTGGGGAGTTAATTAGAACACTTCAGGTGAGGTTTCTTTAAAAAAAATCTTTTTTTTTAATTTGGCAAGGGCGGCGCCACGGGATGGTTAGATTTTTCTGTATATATGTTATATAAAAATAAAAGACGATTTCGGTTCGACACAGTTGATCCGAGTGCCATAACGCTTTAGGGAAGGTTAATGGGGAGGGCGGATTTTATTTTGCATGGGCGGCCCGCTGGCAGGATGCGATTTGGCGCCCTGGTCTTTCCCGTGAGCGCTATGGCGACTACGTTCGATCTAAACAGTGATAGACAATGGATAGGATCGGGCGTTACAAACGCTCACTAAATTGAATCAGGCGTGTCCGCCGGCACCCTGGTAAGGTGCGATTTGGCTGCTAATAGAAATTTCAGTTGCGGCCCTTAAAGGCTCACATGGGCCGCTGAGGGCCATGTAATACGTTTTATTTTAATAATCAGACAAATTAACCAAGGTTAGATTATTAACTGGGATGTTTATTTTTGTCTGTAAAACAATCCAAACAGTTTCGTCACTTTGCGAATGATGCAATTAGCATCTATTTTTAGACAATTTAATCAGAAATTGAGATCGAGAATCTAATAATAGACCGTTATTCACGCTAACATATTGCATCAGTCAAACTGATGTAAAACACGTAAAATAATTTTTTTACGTGTGAAAGAAAAAAACCTGTTAATTTATGTCACTTGAGCGAATGACGCAATATGCATCATTGTTAACAGGATGCTATTTGGCACGATGGCGCCTGTTAGTTTTAAGGAGCCAGGTGCCGTACGCAGCGCTTATGCGGTAGTGTAATAGGGGGTGGGGGGGGGGGGGCTCCTGAGAGCGCCCTTCTACGTTCCTGACACATGAGCGGTCACCGAACCGTGTTCTACCTCATTATTTCAGTGAGTGATTTAATGCGGTGGTGTAGGTAAAGCCGTGTCCCATTATTTATGATCCAAGCGCAGGCATTGTTTTCATTTAAATAACTCACTTTTAGAAAAGAAGGTCACACGTCTACAAATATAGGATTGGTAACGCATGGATGAAACCCTTTTTATATATTTCGTCAGACTTTCTTCTATTCCCGCGGCAACGCGCGGGCAAGGGTACGCTAATGAATTTATAAAGTACTAGGTTTCTGCAATATTATACACACATTGTTTGCTGATGTGCAATTTTTTGTTCAATCTTATTCTATTCTATTTTAGAAAGTGGAAGTAATTGAACATGGATTTTTAAAAAATCAAGTCTTTATCCCGTAGTACTAGATACGTATATTTGAGAAAGTTAAGGTGAGATCACTCCCGTTTTATTATACTTTTTTTTTAAAAATTAATTTTGTCTTGGCCTCGATTCTAGATCTACTTATTCTCCGACAGAGCTAAAATGGCGTAAATCTAATTGATTTGCAGATTTAGATCTAGATAAAAGCGATATTTTCTCGAATTAGATGATCGGTGAAACGATCATAAAAATAACAGATATATCGTTAAAGCTATGGCCAACAAAAATTAGCTTTAAAATGCATTATATATTTCAATGGACAATATGGGTTAATTTTCAATGGAAACAGTGTTTGTTGTGAAAATAAGTAAATAAAATATATGTTCTCAACTTATATAATTAAAGGTATATTTCTACATATGAATATATCATTAAATAAAGTAACGTCTTTAAATAAATTTGTGTATAGCATTTTTGGAAAAAAAGAACATTGTTCTCTACTTAAATATGTATTTTATAGTTCTTCAAATACATAGTGCAATTACTCTGTTCAAGCGGAACCGACAAAAAAACCACACAAATAATATAGAAATAAGTAAACAATTGTGAGTTTTAGTAGTATACTAGACTACCCTTTAATCTTGAATAATCATGTGTTTCGTGGGTCATCCATAAATTACGTTATGTTTATTTGACGATTTGTATCTTTCCCCTACCTTTCTTACTGTCACACATCTTCACCAAAAGTCAGACCCCACATTCAAAAAGACGTCTCACCTCAGGCAACATATTATTGTATTTTAAAAATACCGATTTAAATGAGCATGGGTCTGACCACACCATCCCTTCATATGCTGAGAACACAGAAACAGGTGAACTCTATTTCACCTGCCCTGTGTTCCGCCAAGTCCAGATAGGCAACTTTATCATTAACATCTAAATAAAATGGAAAAAAAAATTGTCGTGATGTGACTCGAACACGTACCACCCACGTGTTAACTATTACACACTGTCATCTTAGCTATGTGGACACTTCCAATTAGGCGTAGAATTAGTGCTATGATTTACTTAGAGTCTGCAAAGTAAGAAACTTCAGTTACGCGAATATGCCCTATTATTTCAAATTAAATTATATCCCAAATTAGCCAATTCCATAACTAAACAAACAAAGATTGATAAAAAATAATTATGGCCTGAAATAGTTTAGTACAGAAACTCACTATTGGCATAGATTCTAGATCTAGATCTAGATAGAGATAGATCTAGATCAAGAAATGCTAGATGTAGAATCTACGGCTGGCTTAAATCTAGTTTTTCCGTAGCTCTACATATAAAATCTTGATAGATAAATCCCATGCATTCTCGAATTAGATGATCCTTGATGCTAAAAAGCAAAGATTTTATTAAATATTTAAGGACTAACAGTTTAATAAAGAAACTCAATAATTTATTGTGTTTTTATAATTGTTTTTCTACATTCGAATGCGCCTTTATTTTTTTATTTATCTTCTTTAAATAAAATTGTGGTTATACATTTAAAACATCTAACATATTATTTTCAGCAAAAGTCCGTATCAAGTTCTCCATATATCGCTGCAGATTCTGATGTGATATCCGGCGAAAATATTTTGCGAACAGAGAGAGAGAGAGAGAGAGAGAGAGAGAGAGAGAGAGAGAGAGAGAAGTGCGCACATTGGCTTTTATATATTTGGATAGATAGATAAATAGATAGATAGATAGATAGATAGATAGATGGATGGATGGATGGATGGATGGATGGATGGATGGATGGATGGATGGATGGATGGATGGATGGATGGATGGATGGATGGATGGATGGATGGATGGATGGATGGATGGATGGATGGATGGATGGATGGATGGATGGATGGATGGATGGATGGATGGATGGATGGATGGATGGATGGATGGATGGATGGATGGATGGATGGATGGATGGATGGATGGATGGATGGATGGATGGATGGATGGATGGATGGATGGATGGATGGATGGATGGATGGATGGATGGATGGACGGACGGATGGACGGATGGACGGATGGACGGATGGACGGACGGCGGACGGACGGACGGACGGACGGGTGGGTGGGTGGGTGGGTGGGTAGGTAGGTAGGCAGGCAGGCAGGCAGGCACATATAGAATAGATAGATAGATAGTTAGATAAGATGTCATAATTAGGTTAAATATTGATACTTTTGAAGATAGTATAACTTGTTATAATTAGGTTAAAACATTGATATTGATGATTAAAGTATATTCTGTTATAATTAGGTATATTTAAAGTTGTAGTTAAAATTATGTTAAATTTTTATAGATTTAGTGTAACACTTTATAATTAAGCTTAATATTTTAAGTTTTAGTTGTGTATAGCATGTTTTAATTACGCTTATTAATTTTAGTTTTATTACTACCTGTTTTAATTATTTTTTGTCTTAGATCACATGTCATAATCAGGTTTATATTTTTAGTTGTGTATGACATTTTAATGCGTTTAATTGTGGAATGACATCGTCGGCCAAAACAAATCGTCCTAATGACGTCAGTCTCATTGCCATGGCTAATGGCTTAACATTTTATCATTAGACGACGGTTAAACCTACTTAACATTGTATCATTAGACGACGGTTAAACCTACTTAACATTCTATCATTAGACGACGGTTAAACCCACTTAACATTGTATCATTAGACGACGGTTAAACCTACTTAAAGCTGTATCATTAGACGACGGTTAAACCTACTTAAAGCTGTATCATTAGACGACGGTTAAACCTACTGGACATTGTAGCGTTAGACGGCGGTTAAACCTACTTAACATTGTATCATTCGACGGCGGTTAAACCTACTTAACATTGTATCATTTGACGGCGGTTAAACCTACTTTTGAAGGATGGACAGCTGAAGATGGAATCAGCGACTCGGTTTTAATATCTGCTATTGATTTTCTTTTTTCTGTGACACGAAATGTCTGCATTTTTGTTCTCTGTACACAGTGTCATCCACTGGCAATTAGTTCTAATTAAAATAATAGAATCAACTCGAGTGGTAGAGGCGAGTTCAGCCATTAGAGCTCATGTTAATTAGAACTGGATTCTTTAATCTCAATGTATAGCATATGCTCTGTGGATCCACAGGGTCTGGCTAACCGTTATGATGAAGACTTCCAGTGTTTGCAGTGTGCCCCAGGGTGTGAGGTATGCTCTGACCCCTCCCCCTGTATCCTGGCCCTCAACTGGATCCTCAGGTCCATTCTGCTGGCCATCTCTGGACTCATCATGTCCTTCCTACTCGTCTTGGTGTGGTTTACTCTCCATTACAGGAATGTCAAGGTGACCTGCTCTTTCATCTCGACTTAACATAGTGTTAGGACATTCAACAGATTCACATTGTCTCTAAATGTCATGACGAGAGGTTATACACTTTGCACTATAGTTCAAGTCACAACTAATCCTATAGTAACTAAATCACACATTGCATGACTAGTTAACTCTATACGTGTTTAGCATAAATTAATGTGTATGAAATTACGTATGTAGTTACGAGTGCGTTCAAATTAATACACTGATGTTGGCGGGCTACTTTAAAAAAAAGATCCACGCTACATAAGAATACATATATTACCAGTTGTAGTAAATCAATCAACGTTTGTACGGATAACATTTCAAAAACAATTGTCTCAAAATCGAAACAGCACCACCATCGGTAATGTAGGCTGCGGTGGGTTTGGAAGGGTTCAGTTTTCCTCATAACAATTTTGCAAGTGTATTCTGTGGTTTTATAAAAAAAATGAAACTAATAAACATAATGCAAGACAAGCACACAACCACAAATAGCTGTAACTTCCGATAACACCTCTTGCTGTAACCTCTGGTGTCTTTACATTGGAGATTTATAGATGCCCATCTTAAAAAACAAATTATAATTTGAATTCTAAGGTTTCAAATGTCTTACTTTTCTGGTAGGTGTTAAAGGCCGCAAGTCCAGTTTTGATGCGAGTTGTTTTACTTGGCGCCTTCTTCCTTTATTGTCCAGTAAGTGGAGGCTTATTTTCTACTGTCATAGCACTTCCAATGCTTTATTAGCTTTTGTTAGCACCTTCATTTTGAGCGAGTAAATTCCTTGTTAGTGATTTTATTTCAGTCGATCGTCGGTTACTTCGAGGCCAGTACCGTGTCTTGCTGCATGAAGGTTTGGTTCCGAGAGATCGGCTTCTCCATATCCTATGGCGCCCTGCTGCTCAAGACATGGAGGTAAGAGATCAAAGTTAGAGGTTAATTTTTCTCTCACATGCTTTAGACATGGAGCCTATTTGTATCATTTAAATAGTGTTGGTTAAATCTAGTACCGTGTTTACACTTACGATGTGTCTACTGTACTGGACCTACTTATATGTATACTATACATGTTGTAATAAATGCAACATTTTCTGAGCCACAAAAACGACGCCCCTTTTCCGTTCTGGGAAAAGTTTTTGTTTTCGTGCAGATGAGCGCGCATAAGTCGAAGCATAGTAAACACATTCCTAGAACTTAGTTGATTGTAAAATGTAACTTAAATATACCAATTTTAAGTTTGCGAGCACACACTTTTAAAATTTATAACGTCTATACTACTTTTTACTTTATCGTATATACGAAGTATAGAGAAATTCTTGTAATCGTGCAAAAAAACTGATACGGAAAAACATAATTTTGTAATCTTGTCCGTATGTCTGTGTGTCTGTCTGTGTGTGTGTGTGTGTGTAAACACGATAACTTGAGTACCGTTACAGCTAGATTGATGAAATTTCATATATAAGTATTTTATCAAAATCGTAGATCCGTATCAACTTTTGAGCGATTTCCGATAACCGGAAGTGGTACTTTTTTCACTTTGAATTTTTCAAAAGCCTATAACTTGATTACTGTTTCAGATAGATAAATGAAATTTCACATGTAAGTAAAAGATCTAATGCTCTACCTTCTATCAAATTTTGAGTAATTTCCGTTTACCGAAAGTAGTAATTTACGCTATTTCCGATTTCTCAAAAAAACGCTTGTAAATTTATAAAGTACTAATAATATTACGCACTATTATGCACATTTTGTTTTGGCGTTTGCTTGGTGCGCAATTATTTTTTCTATGAGATTCTATTTTAAAAAGTTCAAGTATTTAAAATGGATTAAAAATCATAACTATATCCCGAGTTCCCATCCCCTGTTGTTTTATATAAGAATATTCGAGAAAGTTTAGAGGAGATCACTCCCGCTTCATTTAATATATAATTACTTCATATTTTTAAAATTAAATGGCAAACATGTTTTAATGAAAAAATGTAATGCCTAAGGCATAATGATTTTGCATTAAAGTCCAGTTTAGATTTTAATAAAAGAAATAATAATTAATTTGTTGTTGTTCTTCAATTTTCTTCGCCCTATAGTTTGTTATGTGTATCAACATATTTTCAGTTTCCGTTTGATAGAGAAATAAATCTATTGGCCCACCAGAATGTGCTCGTGGGATGACATGTGTGCTGACCATATTACAGGCAGATAAACAAGTGATAATTATTTAGGTTCACAATATCTCTTCATTCGCCGTAGTCACAGAAATAGGTGAACTCCATCTCATCTGCCCTATGATCACCAGGTCTGAGTGGGATAATTAAGAAAGCGTAATATCTCATATAATGCATCCAGGGAGTTTTAATTCAAAATAACTAGAGATACCCGGTATCTACAAATCTGTCTATCCAAAACCTCTAAAATCAACCCGTTTTTTTTTTGGCAATAGTGAAAGCTGTTATTTTACGTAATTTCAGCTTCATATAACCAATTTCTGGGTAGAGGTAATGACAGCTGGTACTAAAGCGTGTGTATCTGTTTCATTTTTTTTAAATAAGCTAGTGGTTCGAACATTAAAACATAGATGTTTATAGTAAAAACCACTGTCAAGTGAAATATACTTTGGTAAATTAAACGTTGGGGCCCCTTAAAATCGAGGGCCTCTGGCTGCTGCCCTCTCAGCCCCCCACTTCCCCATAATCTTAGTCCCCCACAGATTGTATGCCCCCTCTTTACTTCTATATAAGTATAAGATGCCCCTATTTACCTTTAAGGATGTATTTGATGGTCCCCTATTGACAACATGGCTTCATTATCTCCTCTAGGTTATTTTATTGAACCGCTAGTGACTCGACTTACCTCCCCATCTTTCTCCATCTGTTTATGAGTGTATACAGAATATTGTCAACCCCCATGTGTTGTGACCCTGGCCAACTGAATCAAAACGAGGCGACGCTGGCTACTATGAGGACGGCTAGAAGATTAGCTAATGGCAATTGTTGCTCGGATTGTCTGGGTCAGCGCATCGTTACTATAATGTTTCCAGATCCATTTCCCAGGGCGAAAAAGAATTGAGTTAGAGGCGACAAAACTATTTCAGTTATAGCAGACAATACTGCGTAGGCCGACAAGTTTGGCCAGCTATTTACAGCGGAAGCGAAACTAGGATAGAAATCGATCACAAGGCAACTGATTTTAATCCCCATACAGAGGACAATAATCTAGAGCATTATTTCAAATAGATGGCAAATACACCGATACTTTAAATGGGTAAACTGACATTTAAAAAGGCACCAAACACATCAATAGCTGCCGCTTGCAATTTCCAGAAGAAATACACTGCTTTACGTTTGAAAAATATCAATCAGCATAAAAAAGAAGCTTACTTTAAATTTGAGTTTTCATGGTCTATATTTAAAATAAATCGTATAATTAAAAACGTTTTTGTCATTTTAAATGAAAATGCAAAAGCTACAACCGTAGACCTATTAGCACTGTGTATTTAAGCAGTAGGAAGCACACGTAGATGTCGCTGACATTGAGATGAGGGAAGTATAATTTACACCACACGTAGGAGCATACATCTCAGTATGATGTTGGTGTAGGTGGTTGGAGAAGACATCTCCGTCTGATGTTGGTGTAGGACCAAACATCTCTCAGTCTGATGTTTGTGTTGGAGCAGACATCTCTCAGTTTGATGTTGGTGTTGGAGCAGACATCTCTCAGTTTGATGTTGGTGTTGGAGCAGACATCTCTCAGTTTGATGTTGGTGTAGGAGCATACATCTCTCCGTCTGATGTTGGTGTTGGAGCAGACATCTCTCAGTCTGATGTTGGTGTTGGAGCAGACATCTCTCAGTCTGATGTTGGTGTTGGAGCAGACATCTCTCAGTCTGATGTTGGTGTTGGAGCAGACATCTCTCAGTCTGATGTTTGTGTTGGAGCAGACATCTCTCAGTTTGATGTTGGTGTTGGAGCAGACATCTCTCAGTTTGATGTTGGTGTAGGAGCATACATCTCTCCGTCTGATGTTGGTGTTGGAGCAGACATCTCTCAGTCTGATGTTGGTGTTGGAGCAGACATCTCTCAGTCTGATGTTGGTGTTGGAGCAGACATCTCTCAGTCTGATGTTGGTGTTGGAGCAGACATCTCTCAGTATGATGTTGATGTAGGCGGTTGGAGCAGACATCTCTCAGTCTGATGTTGGTGTTGGAGCAGACATCTCTCAGTCTGATGTTGGTGTAGGTGGTAGGAGCAGACATCTCTCAGTCTGATATTGGTGTTGGAGCAGACATCTCTCAGTATGATGTTGATGTAGGCGGTTGGAGCAGACATCTCTCAGTCTGATGTTGGTGTTGGAGCAGACATCTCTCAGTCTGATGTTGGTGTAGGTGGTAGGAGCAGACATCTCTCAGTCTGATATTGGTGTTGGAGCAGACATCTCTCAGTCTGATGTTGGTGTTGGAGCAGACATCTCTCAGTCTGATGTTGGTGTTGGAGCAGACATCTCTCAGTATGATGTTGATGTAGGCGGTTGGAGCAGACATCTCTCAGTCTGATGTTGATGTTGGAGCAGACATCTCTCAGTCTGATGTTGGTGTTGGAGCAGACATCTCTCAGTCTGATGTTGGTGTAGGAGCATACATCTCTCCGTCTGATGTTGGTGTTGGAGCAGACATCTCTCAGTCTGATGTTGGTGTTGGAGCAGACATCTCTCAGTCTGATGTTTGTGTTGGAGCAGACATCTCTCAGTTTGATGTTGGTGTTGGAGCAGACATCTCTCAGTTTGATGTTGGTGTTGGAGCAGACATCTCTCAGTTTGATGTTGGTGTAGGAGCATACATCTCTCCGTCTGATGTTGGTGTTGGAGCAGACATCTCTCAGTCTGATGTTGGTGTTGGAGCAGACATCTCTCAGTCTGATGTTGGTGTTGGAGCAGACATCTCTCAGTCTGATGTTGGTGTTGGAGCAGACATCTCTCAGTCTGATGTTTGTGTTGGAGCAGACATCTCTCAGTTTGATGTTGGTGTTGGAGCAGACATCTCTCAGTTTGATGTTGGTGTAGGAGCATACATCTCTCCGTCTGATGTTGGTGTTGGAGCAGACATCTCTCAGTCTGATGTTGGTGTTGGAGCAGACATCTCTCAGTCTGATGTTGGTGTTGGAGCAGACATCTCTCAGTCTGATGTTGGTGTTGGAGCAGACATCTCTCAGTATGATGTTGATGTAGGCGGTTGGAGCAGACATCTCTCAGTCTGATGTTGGTGTTGGAGCAGACATCTCTCAGTCTGATGTTGGTGTAGGTGGTAGGAGCAGACATCTCTCAGTCTGATATTGGTGTTGGAGCAGACATCTCTCAGTCTGATGTTGGTGTTGGAGCAGACATCTCTCAGTATGATGTTGATGTAGGCGGTTGGAGCAGACATCTCTCAGTCTGATGTTGGTGTTGGAGCAGACATCTCTCAGTCTGATGTTGGTGTAGGTGGTAGGAGCAGACATCTCTCAGTCTGATATTGGTGTTGGAGCAGACATCTCTCAGTCTGATGTTGGTGTTGGAGCAGACATCTCTCAGTCTGATGTTGGTGTTGGAGCAGACATCTCTCAGTATGATGTTGATGTAGGCGGTTGGAGCAGACATCTCTCAGTTTGATGTTGGTGTAGGAGCATACATCTCTCCGTCTGATGTTGATGTTGGAGCAGACATCTCTCAGTCTGATGTTGGTGTTGGAGCAGACATCTCTCAGTCTGATGTTGGTGTTGGAGCAGGCATCTCTCAGTCTGATGTAGGTGTTGGAGCAGACATCTCTCAGTCTGATGTTGGTGTTGGAGCAGGCATCTCTCAGTCTGATGTAGGTGTTGGAGCAGACATCTCTCAGTCTGATGTTGATGTTGGAGCAGACATCTCTCAGTCTGATGTAGGTGTTGGAGCAGACATCTCTCAGTCTTACGTTGCGGAAGATTTTGTGAATGCCGTATACCGAGGTCTGTTAGGTCCGCCACAGAACGGCGCTTAACGTGCAGACTAGTATCATGCAATGGGTGTAAAAATCTAACGCTTCCTGGACGTCTGACATGGGACATTAATGCCGGGGTAATTGATGAGGGGACTGAATTGATGCTTGAAAACACTTTTTCGTCTTTTAATGAAAAATGCCTTACATTATCTCAGGATTTTCGTGAATCCTAAATGGATTTGGAATGTCCAGCTTGTCTCTAAATAGACTTAAGCGCTAAAACTTGACACTTTGCACTAAAACTTGATACTATGCACTAACACTTGATACTTTTCGCTGAAACATGACACTTTGCACTAACACTTGATACTTTGCACAAATACTCGATACTTTGAAAAAGTGTTTTCCAAAAAGAAATTATGCTACAATATTTACTCGTTAAACTATTTTGTTGTGTTTTTTTCCTTTTTGTGTTTAAGGTACATTAATTTGTTTAGCATATCGATATAGCTAATTTGGATATGTTTTTGGTAATAACGAGCTCTTTGTTGCTACTGCCATAATACACTTTCTAATACAAGATCCCAAGACCATCTTACTAATGAACTTCAACCACCGGAACACAATTCAAAAGCTCTTATCTGCGAGCGCAGCGGGAGTTTCGCAGCTGTTGCTACACTTAAGGTGTAATGCAGCACCACTTGTTGCCCATTAGGACTACTGTTTGTAAGGCTGGGGTATAAGAAATAACAGTTATTACTGGTTTATGTTTAAAACGTACATTTGTAGCATACATAAATAGTGCCATAGGCATAGAATTATTAGTTCGTTACAGCTAGATGGTTTACATGAATACGTTAAGCCGCATTTAGAATTGCAAGTAATTTTTAAAAATTCACTTGGTCCTTCCATGACTAAGAACTATTAGTGGCCACATTGTTCTGATGCTGAGGCATACACTCAAGTTTTTAGCCTCCCACTCATGCGTGGAATATAAACTACGTGGCCCACTCATCCATAAATATTTGACGCTAGAGGAGTTTTATAACTTCATTACCAGCTAGACATCAAACTGGTATTCTTTGAAGTCCTGGTCATTGTATTCACCGAGATAGCTTTTTGAAGGCCAATTATATTTCAATCTTTCATATTGTACACCAACTTTGGTTTTCATTTTCTTTACTTAGGAAATTATATTTTCCTGAAGATGAATTTAGCAAATTATACTATCCTGAAAATGAAGGTAGCATTCGTGTGGCTGGGAAGTATAGTGTAGAACTTGTTACTGAGGCTGAGAGACTAGTGAGCTAACCGTATATATATATATATATATATATATATATATATATATATATATATATATATATATATATATATATATATATATATATATATATATATATATACATATATACATATATACATATATATATACATATATATATGTATATATATATATACATATATATATATATATATATATATATACATATATATATATATATATATATATATACATATATATATATATATATATATATATATATACATATATACATATATATATGTATATATATATATATACATATATATATGTATATATATATATATACATATATATATATATATATATATATATATATATATATATATATATATATATATATATATATATATATATATATTACGGTCAAAGCCCGAAGTGCGGCCAAAGCACGCATTGGCCGGCCTATGTGCGCATTGGCCGGCTCTCTTGATCAAAGCCCAAAGAGCTTAGCACTGAGAGCGTATTTCGTACATTGGCTGGCCAATGCGCGCCGGGATGTCCTGGTATTTGTCTGGAAATCTTATGTTTGTCGTGAACATCTGTTTGTGAACACCTGTAGCCTGTCTGTATTTGTCCGGAAATCTTAGGTCTGTCTTGAACATCTGTTTGTGAACACATGTAGCCTGTCTGTATTTGTCTTGGTAACCCTCCATGTCTCTAATCCACAAAGCAATATTGCCTTAACATTTGTGTTGAAGATTCTCATCTTGCTCTGAAATGACAATTTCAGTTTCATATTAGTAGTAGTGAGTTGAAGACACATCTGACCTTGTTGATACGGCCTTTTCTGTCCTTGTCCCCTCCCCTTATTACTGATTACGCTTCCCAGATATGTGACTGTTTGTTTCTCGTTCTGGTGCTTTTTTATTCTAATGACCTCTGATGACTACTTTGTTTTGGGCATGTTGTCGTCACCAAAATCAAAGTCAAGTTGATTACCATCAAGAATATCGTTGTCGAAAGCATACATATTTGTCTCCCTCCTGTCTTCACGGTGACGTGGCTGGTTAGCTTTCTTTGCGGATTACCTAACAAGCAGGGTCTTCATATAATTTCTGTGTGATAGACATCCATTTAGGGGTAAACCAAATTGTCTAATTAGCTTCCAAATAACATATCTATAGCACTATCAAACGCCTTTCCGAAGTCTACAAAAGCCATGGGACTGTTCAATAATGATGCACAGCGTACCAGTGTGGTCAGTGCAAGGCCTGTCTTCTTAAAACTTGTCTGTTCTTGTCTTAATTGTTTTACCAAGGCATCTCCAAGTCTCTCTTGGATGATTCTTGTTAGCACCCCTACGTAGGACTGAAAGAAGCATTATTCCTCTGCAGTTGGTGCATTGTGAAGTCTCCTTTCTTTGGTAGCTTCACAAAGTTGCCAAGTTTCCACAACTACCTCAAACTTTGTAGGTGGCCTGTCTTCGTATTTAATAGTTGATTTGCAGGTGATAAATCGGGAACGGTAGAAACAGACAGACAGACAGACAGACAGACCGGCGGGCGGACGGACGGACGGACAGACGGACAGACATCGTAAAGCTAATATTTTTTGTATCAACCTGAACCGCTCTTGATAAATCTATTCAACAGAATTTCTGTTGTCTTTCGGGTACGGTCAGCGCAGAGGATTAAAATATCGGATGGAGATCTCATCAAGAGACTGGTTGTCATAGTGCTGGTTTTTGCTGCCTACCTAACTGCACGTACTATCGCCAACATGCCAAAAGTTGTAGGAGGTAAGATAGAAATAACAAAAGCTGTAGGAGGTAAGATAGAAATAACAAAAGCTGTAGGAGGTAAGATAGAAATAACAAAAGCTGTAGGAGGTAAGATAGAAATAACAAAAGCTGTAGGAGGTAAGATAGAAATAACAAAAGTTGTAGGAGGTAAGATAGAAATAACAAAAGCTGTAGGAGGTAAGATAGAAATAACAAAAGCTGTAGGAGGTAAGATAGAAATAACAAAAGCTGTAGGAGGTAAGATAGAAATAACAAAAGCTGTAGGAGGTAAGATAGAAATAACAAAAGCTGTAGGAGGTAAGATAGAAATAACAAAAGCTGTAGGATGTAAGATAGAAATAACAAAAGCTGTAGGAGGTAAGATAGAAATAACAAAAGCTGTAGGAGGTAAGATAGAAATAACAAAAGCTGTAGGAGGTAAGATAGAAATAACAAAAGCTGTAGGAGGTAAGATAGAAATAACAAAAGCTGTAGGAGGTAAGATAGAAATAACAAAAGCTGTAGGAGGTAAGATAGAACAGTGGTATCGAGACAAGAGGGCCCTAGTGTACGAGCGATGTAAGTTTCGTACAATCGAGTGCTCGACAGTTTGCTTTTAGTTACACTGCAGGAGAAAGTGAGGAAAGCGTGGGGAAAGTTGAAAAGGCTGGGAAAAGCGGCGGGGGGGGGGGGGGGGAGTAGGGGGAGTAGGGGGGGGGTGAAAGGCACAGGTCAGTTTGGAGAAATGCAGCTACAAATATTAAGCGAAACAATATTTATAATTTATTAATAGATTTTTTAATTAAAAAAAAAACACGAATAAAAAACAACTGGTTTGGCATTTCAATTGACGCACGACTGAGCCAGGTAACGGAAAAAAAATCAGTTCGTATATCGGAGTACCATATACACACCAGCGTCTTCAGTTACAAACATTAATCAAATGATTTTAGAACTAACTCGTTGATTGATCATTTGATGTTTACTATCATCAATACCTTAATCCCAATAATGTTCTGTTGTTATTTAGAACTGTCACAATAATGTTGTCATTTAGAAAAGTCACAACAACGTTCTGTTGTCATTTAGAACTGTCACAACAACGTTCTGTTGTCATTTAGAACTGTCACAATAACGTTCTGTTGTCATTTAGAACTGTCACGTTGATGTTATTTAGAACTGTCACAATAACGTTCTTTTGTCATTTAGAACTGTCGCAATAACGTTCTGTTGTCATTTAGAACTGTCACGTTGATGTCGTAATTTAGAACTGTCACGTTGATGTTGTCATTTAGAACAGTCACAATAACGTTCTGTTGTCATTTAGAAAAGTCACGTTGATGTTGTCATTTAGAACTGTCACAATAACGTTCTGTTGTCATTTAGAACTGTCACAATAACGTTCTGTTGTCATTTAGAAAAGTCACGTTGATGTTGTCATTTAGAACTGTCACAATAACGTTCTGTTGTCATTTAGAACTGTCACAATAACGTTCTGTTGTCATTTAGAACTGTCACGTTGATGTTGTCATTTAGAACTGTCACAATAACGTTCTGTTGTCATTTATGAACTGTCACGTTGATGTTGTCATTTAGAACTGCCACAATAACGTTCTGATGTCATTTAGAACTGTCACAATAACGTTCTGTTGTCATTTAGAACTGTCACGTTGATGTTGTTATTTAGAACTGTCACAATAACGTTCTGTTGTCATTTAGAACTGTCACGTTGATGTTGTCATTTAGAACAGTCACAATAACGTTCTGTTGTCATTTAGAAAAGTCACGTTGATGTTGTCATTTAGAACTGTCACAATAACGTTCTGTTGTCATTTAGAACTGTCACAATAACGTTCTGTTGTCATTTAGAAAAGTCACGTTGATGTTGTCATTTAGAACTGTCACAATAACGTTCTGTTGTCATTTAGAACTGTCACGTTGATGTTGTCATTTAGAACTGTCACAATAACGTTCTGTTGCCTTATTTAAGCTTCTTGTTCACATTTGGAACTGCTATTTGATTTCTAGGTAAAGACGTTAGCGAGTTGAAGGCTTACATTTGTAATGCAGATTGGTGGGACCATTCGGCAGCTATAGGTAGGTCAGTTTGTTACAGCCTTCCTATTTATTCTATAGATGGTTCATTTAGAACATGTTCTTTTTTACTTTCTCGTATATACGAAGTATAGAGAAAGTCTTGTAATCGTGCAAAAAAAAAAATCGAGATTTTTACAAATCTCGACGTTTTACACCTCACTGATACGGAAAAACAATCTTGTCCGTATGTCTGTGTGTCTGTCTGTCTGTCTGTCTGTCCGTGTGTAAACACGATAACTTGAGTACCGTTACAGCTAGGTTGATGAAATTTCATATATAAGTATTTTATTAAAATCGTAGATCCGTATCAACTTTTGAGCGATTTTGATAACCGGAAGTGGTACTTTTCCTACTTTGAATTTTTCAAAAGCCTATAACTTTAGTACTATTTCAGATAGATAAATGAAATTTCACATGTTAGTAAAAGATCTAATTCTCTACCTTCTGTTAAATTTTGAGTAATTTCCGTTCACCGGAAGTAGTAATTTACGCTACTTCCGATTTCTCAAAAAACGAATGTAAATTTTTAAAGTACTAATAATATTGCGCACTATTATGCGCTTTTTTATTTGGCGTTCACTTGGTGTGCAATTAATTTGTCTACGAGATTTTATTCTATTTTTAAAACTTTAAGTATTTAAAATGGATTAAAAATCATGTCTATAGCCCTAGTTCCCATCCCCTGTTATTTTATATAAGAATATTCGAGAAAGTTTAGGGGAGATCACTCCCGGTTTATTTATTTGGCGTTCACTTGGTGTGCAATTAATTTGTCTACGAGATTTTTTTTCTATTTTTAAAACTTTAAGTATTTAAAATGGATTAAAAATCATGTCTATAGCCCAAGTTCCCATCCCTTGTTATCTATATACTACTAAAAGTCAAGTTTGTTTACATGTTTGAATATTTATTTGTTTGTTTGTCCGATCGAAAATTGTGATATGTTCGACACTATCTGGAAAGCTGTAAAATAGTATGCAGGTAGAGAATAATTTTTTAATGCAGACAGACTGTTGATCACAAATTTATTTAAAGACGTTAATTAATTAATTGATTTATTCATACGCAGAGTAACCCATTTTTTTTAAAAAGATTTGAAAAGCCACTAGACTCGACGGAAACAGTGACGTCACATGAAGTGTTTATTTTTTTACATCGATAATGGCGGCCTATCGAAGAAGATTGTGTTTCCATTCCAATGTTTAACGCGTTCTAAAGCTAATTTTCTGTCGGCTTTAACTTTAACAATACATCCGTTTGCTGTATTTATTACGTTCCAACACTTATATCAATTTTCAACTGTCTTTTTCATTTAGTTTTACAATAAATTTCTCTAGGTCTAAAGATCAGCTGTCGAAGGAAAGTTATTTATAGATCTAGATCTAGAATCTAAAAATCTAGGTCAAATCCAAGATTTATTAGTTATAAATACAATTAAAAAAACGAAACTTTAGCAAACCAGTCGTAGATCTAGAATATAGATAATTCTATCTAGATTTAGATAATAATGAGTTTCTATATACTAAACTATTTTAGACCTTTATTATTTTATATAAATCTTTTTTTGTATAGCTATGAAATATGCTAATTAGGAAATGCTGGATGCGGGGCCTATTTGCATAACTTAAGATTCATACGCGGCTTCTATACCGCTAAGTGTGCAAAATTATAGACGTAAACTCTAGATATAGCTCAGTCGTACTAAAATATAGATAATTTTCTATCTAGATTTAGATAATAATGATTTTCTATATACTAAACTATTTTAGACCTTTATTATTTTATATAAATCTTTGTTTGGAATATGGTAATTTTGAAATGCTCGCTCCGGGCCTATAAGCGTAGCTAATGATTAGATCTAGATTCTAGGTCTAGCAAGAAAAACTAAACATAAGAAGACTTAAGCAAAAGAGTCGTAGAATCTAGACTAGATCTAGATAATTCTATCTAGATCTAGATAATTTCAGACCTTCTTTATTTTATATAAATCTTTGTTTGGCTAATTTAAGATAAAATTTAATTTGAAAGTTACTACTACTAGATCTAGATCTATGCGCGTAAGGAGACTCAAAGTATAGTATAAAACTTCACTTGTAATGTCACGAGTAAATAGCTAACTTGGTAGTGAGGTCGGCTCTCATGTGGGTGGCACAGGTTCTAGACCAATTCGTCAATGATTTTTTTTTCAATTTTTTTTTTTTTTTTAGATGTGAATAATAAAGTTGCCTATCTGAACTTGGCAGGATACAGGGCTGGTGAAGTAGAGTTTGTCTGTTTCTTTGTCCTAAGCATATGAAAGGATAGTGTGGTCAGAGACATGCTCGGCTGGAATAGTTTTTTAAACGATAAAAACATGTTGTCTGAGACTTGGCGGGACACTGGGCAGGTGAAGTAGAGTTGAGTAGGTCACCTATGAAGTCAGTATATGAAGGGATAGTCCGAAATCGGTGTTTTCGGTGTTTTTAAAAGATAAAAAACAAATTTTTGAAAGTGGGGTCTGTTTTTTTTTACGATAAGTGACACTGCAGTAGCGTAGCGAGGAGGGGGGGGGGGCCGGGAGGGGAGGCGGGGGGGGGGGAAGGGGAGGTGGAGGGAGGTGGAGGGGGGAAGGGGGGGGGGCGGGGGGACATATGTTGGGGCGCCAAAATGGTTTGGAAAAATAAATTGAAAGGTTGAGGGGGGTTCAAATCGAAAGTTTGAGTGGGGGGGGTGCACATCAAAAGTTTGAGGGGGGGGGGGGTGAAAATTGAAATCTTGGGAGGGGGGGTTAAAATCGAAAAGTTTGTCCCCGGGCGCCAGGAAGGGTCGCTATGCCTCTGAGTGACAGACGTGATGTTTTTTGATGGATGACCCCCGAAACCCACAGTTATCCAACGGATGACGGGTATTCTAGTTTTATATAAGAATATTCGAGAAAGTTTAGGGGAGATCACTCCCGGTTTATTGTTTTATAGATAGATTAATTTAGAACTCTTTTCATTTGAACTCCTAATGATACTGAGATCTCTTTTTAGTCTTGTCACGCGAGCTAACATACGTTTCAATAATCAGTTCTTTCAACCAACTATTCCGATAATCACCGACATTGGCGGAACTAGAAAAAAGGGCCATCCCGCAAACATTTTTAGGCCCCCTCATATATATATATATATATATATATATATATATATATATATATATATATATATATATATATATATATATATATATATATATATATATATATATACAAAATACGAACATAAAGTACTCATTGCTGGCCTATTTGGGGTTTGAAAAAAAATGTTTTTCTTTTCAATAAAACAAATTACAACATCATGTCATGTATGTAAGTGCATTAGTGTGTTTTGTGAAAAACAGTTTTATCTCTGCTATAAGACCTTTTAACCTCTAGTGGGTCAAAAGAATATAAACCATAAAAGATTTGTATAAGTAATGGTGTCTCGTGTTACGTTTATTTTTAATGTTTTTTTTTAATTTATATTATTAATTTTAAATACATTTCCTTTTTATGCAATGTCATTCTTTAGCAAGTACTTTATAAAAAATAATAATTAAGAGAAGTAATTGCTTTTTAATTTGTTTAGTACAAATCTATTAAATTGATCTTATGAAAACCCCTATTCAACTATTTAAAAAAGGGAAATAAGACATGGAAATCGTTGAACATTTGCTCATTTTTGATAAGTTTGATTGTAGGATAAAGAGGACTCGGCTCTCACAGTGGTTTAAAAACAGGGAAAAAGAATATACAAGAACGTGGGCTGGTGTCTATAGAATAAATATAATCCAACCGCAGCTACGGTAATCTATTTTACAAAACAACCATCAAGTCAAAAATGCAAGAACATTTAATTTTTTTAACTATAAAAATATTATTGTCGGCTGTGGGCCCCTAAATGGCGTGCCCCAACCTCCCACGCATTGTGGGGTCTGGCATCACTGTACTTCCGCCTCTGATCACCTGGTATCCTTCAACCAACTGTTCCGATAATCACCGGGTATCTTTCAACCAACTGTTCCGATAATCACCGGGTATCTTTCAACCAACTGTTCCGATAATCACCGGGTATCTTTCAACCAACTGTTCCGATAATCACCGGGTATCTGTCAACCAACTGTTCCGATAATCACCGGGTATCTTTCAACCAACTGTTCCGATAATTACCTTATATCTTTTAACCAACCATTCCGATAATTACTGGGTATATTCCGAATCCTACAGGGTAGCTGCATTTCGTGTGTAATGGTTTTGAGTATGGTGCCCATCCTATGAATATGGTGCCCTTATACTTATAACACTGTTTGTACTATGCTTATAACACTGTGTGTTATGCTTATAACACTGTGTGTGTTATGTTTATAACACTATGTTATGCTTATAACATTGTGTGTGTTATGCTTATAACACTGTGTTCTTTTAAAAGTGTTCTTTGGGTTGAACAAAGAATGACGTCATCTATTGGACTAAGTATTTTAATTGTGCTAGGGCAGCTCAGTGGTGAGGTTGTCGTAACCACTCTCAATCATTGTCAGATAGTTCTGTCAATGGGATTCTCGTTATCCATTTTGGAGGGAAGTGAGGGGGGGGGGTGGGCTAGTCTAATTATTGTGGTCTATTTATATCGGATTTTCTCGCGAGCCCTAGTTTTGGCGACCTTGTTTTTTGTGTTAAGGTTCGAACTAAAAGCGACCTATCGTAGGTAACGGTAAATATGGGGTTCATTTGGTAATTATGTGGGTCTATTTGTGTTAGGCCGTTTAGCTTGGACTCTAGCCTAGTTCCCTATTATAGACGCCCCACTCTCTAACCCTGTAACCTTCTGCCGTCTTTCCACGCTATTCCATAAGCTAAACAGCCGTAGAACAGTGAGGTAAACAGCCGTAGAACAGTGAGGTAAACAGTAAGGTAAACAGCCGTAGAACCGTGAGGTAAACAGCCGTAGAACAGTAAGGTAAACAGCCGTAGAACAGTAAGATAAACAGCCGTAGAACAGTAAGGTAAACAGCCGTAGGACAGTAAAATGAACAGCCGTAGAACAGTAAGGTAAACAGCCGTAGAAAAGTAAGGTAAACAGCCGTAGAACAGTAAAATGAACAGCCGTAGAACAGTAAGGTAACCAGCCGTAGAACAGGAAGTTAAACAGCCGTAGAACAGTAAGGTAAACAGCCGTAGAAAAGTAAGGTAAACAGCCGTAGAACAGTAAGGTAAACAGCCGTAGAACAGTAAAGTGAACAGCCGTATAACAATAAGGTAAACAGCCGTAGAACAGTAAGGTAAACAGCCGTAGAACAGTAAAATGAACAGCCGTAGAACAGTAAGGTAAACAGCCGTAGAACAGTGAGGTAAACAGCCGTAGAACAGTGAGGTAAACAGCCGTAGAACAGTAAGGTAAACAGCCGTAGAACAGTGAGGTAAACAGCCGTAGAACAGTAAGGTAAACAGCCGTAGAAAAGTAAGGTAAACAGCCGTAGAACAGTAAAATGAACAGCCGTAGAACAGTAAGGTAAACAGCCGTAGAACAGTAAGGTAAACAGCCGTAGAACAGTAAAGTGAACAGCCGTATAACAATAAGGTAAACAGCCGTAGAACAGTAAGGTAAACAGCCGTAGAACAGTAAAATGAACAGCCGTAGAACAGTAAGGTAAACAGCCGTAGAACAGGAAGGTAAACAGCCGTAGAACAGTAAGGTAAACAGCCGTAGAACAGGAAGGTAAACAGCCGTAGAACAGTGAGGTAAACAGCCGTAGAACAGTGAGGTAAACAGCCGTAGAACAGTAAGGTAAACAGCCGTAGAACAGTGAGGTAAACAGCCGTAGAACAGGAAGGTAAACAGCCGTAGAACAGGAAGGTGAACATTTTAGAATTGTGCTTCATGACTTCCTGAAACTACTTGTTAGAATCCTATCGTGTTCTATGAAATGACTTGAATAGCTGCTATAGAAAAAAAAAATCTTCTCCCAAACTGTTTCCTGCAGTCTTCAGAATGTCTCCATATGACCTTATTTTAGGCTACATTTCTCTAAGTAACTGTAAAAACTAATCACGTGTGACGCGTCTGGCCTTTGATTGGCTACCCCTGAAAGCTGGGAGGTAATGATTTGGAAAAAATGTTTGATAGTCTCAATTGAATGTCAGGCGCCACCCAGACGTCGTGTGAATGGTATCAGCAAGTGTATCAATCATGTGTTTACCATTGGACCCCACATCCCGGAACTTTACCAGCTTTCAAGTCATTTCCCCCGGGGGCCGCTATGTGTAAAGATAAACCGTTTTCAAACGCTTTACACCATTCAGAACAAAACTTACTATCTTGGATTTTATTGCCATTAACATATAGGCACACTATAATTGTACTCTAACGGTGTGGCAGTTTTATTAATCACGTGAACCATTCTCATAAATGTAACAAGCAACTAATAAAATGGGGGATACACTATATCAACACATCCCACTCAGCGATAGATCCAATTCTCAAATCGGTGAAAAACAAAACTGTAGAGTTAAATAAACAAACAAAACAATAGAGCTAAATAGAAAAACACAAAACAGAGTAGCTAATTGAGCACACAAGACAGTAGAGCGAAATAAAACCAACAAAACAGTAGAGCTAACAGAACTAACAAAACAGTAACGTACAAGGGACCGCAGGCAGCCCATGTTGTTAGAGTACTATTCACTGATGGCCCATATCTCCACAGCTGAGCTTCTCTTCCTATTGTGGGGAGTGCGCCTATGCATTGTTGTGCGAAAAGCCCCATCAGAATTTAACGAGAGCCGCTTCATAAGCTGGGCGATATACAACGAATTCCTTCTTTCATTATTTCTTAATGTTTCAATGTAAGTATTCTTTTTTTTTTTACTTTTCTAATATGCTAAAAACCTAACAATTCAGTTTTTTCCCCCAGAATGTTTCAAGTGTGCAATTGATATGGAAAGGTTTAGTAAAAAATGCTTATTGCTTGTATTTGTTTTTCTAAAGAACAAGAGCTCGCAGGAGCACATGTCGTGTGCAGTTTTTCGCTCATTTTATTCTCACGCGGGCAAAACCTTTCGTGTCATCGGGCTGTGAATAAACATTTTTCTCAAATTGGTTTTTAAAACGTGTGTTCAGTAAACCAACCAGATATTTCCTCACGCAATGCAGCTCTTTAGAGTAGCCAAAATAATGTGATTGTCAAGGGCACTTTTTAGAGTAGCCAAAATAATGTGATTATCAAAGGCACTCTTTAGAGTTGCCAAAATAATGTGATTGTCAAGGGCACTTTTTAGAGTAGCCAAAATAATGTGATCGTCAAAGGCACTCTTTAGAGTAGCCAAAATAATGTGATTGTCAAAGGCACTCTTTAGAGTTGCCAAAATAATGCGATTGTCAAAGGCACTCTTTATAGGTGGCCAAAATAATGTGATTGTCAAAGGCACTCTTTATAGGTGGCCAAAATAATGTGATTGTCAAAGGCACTCTTTAGAGTTGCCAAAATAATGTGATTGTCAAGGGCACTTTTTAGAGTAGCCAAAATAATGTGATTGTCAAAGGCACTCTTCATAGGTGGCCAAAATAATGTGATTATCAAAGGGACTCTTTAGAGTTGCCAAAATAATGTGATTGTCAAAGGCACTCTTTATAGGTGGCCAAAATAATGTGATTATCAAAGGCACTCTTCATAGGTGGCCAAAATAATGTGATTGTCAAAGGCACCCTTTAGAGTTGCCAAAATAATGTGATTGTCAAGTGCACTTTTTAGAGTAGCCAAAATAATGTGATTGTCAAGGGCACTTTTTAGAGTAGCCAAAATAATGTGATTATCAAAGGCACTCTTTAGAGTTGCCAAAATAATGTGATTGTCAAGGGCACTTTTTAGAGTAGCCAAAATAATGTGATTGTCAAAGGCACTCTTTATAGGTGGCCAAAATAATGTGATTGTCAATGGCACTCTTTAGAGGTGGCCAAAATAATGTGATTTTCAAAGGCACTCTTTAGAGGTGGCCAAAATAATGTGATTGTCAAAGGCACTCTTTAGAGTAGCCAAAATAATGTGATTGTCAAAGGCACTCTTTAGAGTAGCCAAAATAATGTGATTATCAAAGGGACTCTTTAGAGTAGCCTAAATAATTTGATTGTCAAAAGTCTCATAATGGCAGTTAGCGAAAACGGCTCTACATACAATATTTATAATATCATGTAATGCCAAACTGTAAGTATCTGTCTATAATGTAATTTCCGACAATGCATTATTGCCAGTTAGAAATTAGTGCACTAAGTAAGCAGACTCGAATTTGACCCCAGTCTCTTACAATTAAAAAAACAATTAACGTTGATCCACTAGTAACATGCTCACAATTGTTTTTTGAGACCAAAAACCTCCGAAACAAAAACGGGACGGACCAAAAATAGATGATGTTACGAGAATAAATATTGGTTAAAACCATGTATAACCTAGTTGAGAGAAACAATCAATTATTTATAACTAGTAGCATATGCCCGACGCAGCCTGGATTTTGGGGATAATATAAAATGAAAACTTAAACGTCTATTTCGAGGAAATATATAAACTAATATAACCCTAAGCAGAACCACAAACATAACCATCACATAGTCATAACGCTATCCCAATTCCTATCCCTATAAATATCATTATGAATGTCCCAATCCCTATCCCAATTCATCTTTTTGTCCTTATCTCTATCCTTTTCGTTTTACCTATCATATACTTATCCATTCCCCTATCCCCTACTTATACATGTAACTATACCTATACCTACACCTACACCTACACTTACACTTACACCTACACTACAACTACACCTATACTTATTTCTAAGCCTATACCTAACTTATTCCTAACATATCATTAAGCGATCCTTACACATATCTCTCTGTAAACGACGGGCGACTAATTGATTAGGGGTGATATCTAGCTGCAGTTGTTAAGGTGGGGTTATGTACAAGGGGATAATTGACTTTGGGGGGTAATGAATGGTGTGGGGGAGTGGGAAATGCCCGGAATAATTAACAGGTTGTTATTGTCAATCTCTACAGCCAGTTCTTATTCCGCTCGTCAGACATCGTCAGAAAATTGACTTCATCTTTCCCAAGAATGTGATACGAATAATGGACCGCCAGTTCCAATTAACAGTAGCTCTAACAGAACCCTAACTTTAAACAATATTATAAACTATACAAACTTTCAATTTAACAAAAGATAAATGCGTAAAGAATTCAAAACATTTACTAATTTTTGACCTACTTTAACACATATTCCGACATAAATTCCAATCTTCCCTTGGTTATTATGCTAATTCACTCGACTAATTATCGTATATTGCAAATAAACCATCCGATCACATCACAATCCCAATTTTTTAAAACTCA